GAATGAGAGAATCATGAAGAGTGCTAACGAAAGAGAGACAATAAAAACGCGTGTAGATAATAGCTGATTACTAAAATTCAATTCATCATCATCATCGTAAAGGTTCCAAGTCTTGATAAAATGTATAAATAAATGTCGATATTGAATATCAGTACTAACTTCGGTGGTCATCGATCTAGAAGAATCTTTCTTTATTGCTCTGCGATTAACTTCAATGCATGTCAAATGCCTAAGATTTTGAGTTTATAATGCTACCCCTCGGATAACTACGAACTATGTAAATGTGATGAACGTCAGTTCATCATCTATATGTTTTCTATTGTTTACAAAAAATCAAAAACAATTAATTAGAAGTGTTCTTTATATCGATTCATAACTATCACACTCACATCTCCTATGAAACTAGTAAATAACCACGTGTTTGTAATGTTTAATATTCAATTGAAATGATGAAATAACTCAACAAACATCATTATCGAGAGTAGTAATATAGCTGCGCCTCTAGTTACATCTCATTTTTTCATTATTTTAATTGTGCGCTTTTTTCTTGAATAATATTCTCTTACTCGCTTATGTATTAAACTTCAAAATATTTCCAAAAATGTCTCCCATTCTTATTCCTACTGAAAATAGTTCTATTTGTTACAGATTACTTTTCTTTTCAAGAGGTAATTACGCTTTCTTTTGTTTTTTGTACAAAAATATTGTACTATTATCTAACAAAAGGATAAATAGTCGGTTTCAAGGTACTCGTATTTCTATCTAGAAAAGTTTAATAAAATTCAAAGAGGAACAATCAGTTAATTGTTGAAGTATTTGTATTCGTCGTACCATCATATCTTTAATGATTTGTTTCGTTTTTATTTTGTCAAAATCAAATATTATTTCTTGTTAGAAAGTGCTATGTAGATGGCAGTTGTTTTTTTCTAAAAGAAAGTATTTAGCAATTCATGCGTATAATTAGTTCATGAAAGTGTTGAATAAATTTACGGTTGAACATATTTGATTTTCAAACTCTTAAAAGAGTTTTTTAATAGTAATAGGATGAGAATGATTCACAGTTGGAGTAAATTTTTCTTTGCCTGCAATATTATTACATGATTGTATATAAGTGGCGGACTTCAACAACATGTGTGCATAAAATATTTAAAAAGATATTTTTGAAGGAACATTTTAAAAGAGCTACTTATAAAATATTAAAAGCAGCTCTCATTTTTTTGTATGAAAAAAAAAACGATACATCATTCAATGAATTTAGCTTTCTTTTTTATTTTCATTACTTAAAAAGCTTGGAAATAATAAGCAGTGCAAAAGTCATTAAAAAAAATTCCAGATTCTGTCAAATCACCTTAGCAACTTCTCAACCAATGATGTTTTTCTTTTAGCTTATAAGAGTAATATCTGAACTAAAAATTTTATACAATATACATATATATTTTCAGAATAAATCAAAAAATGAGGAAAAACCAAAAATCAACTATTCCCAGGTCAATGATTACGACGATCATACACGACCGTATTTTAGCTGAACTACTGTAACTAGCGTCAAATAAATGAATCCCCATTAATCCAATCCGGAGTCAAACTTTTGTTTCCAACTTACTCTGTTTCGTCACTATATCCTGGCATACAATGAAAAGCGATGAAACACACCAAAAACACGCCTGCAAAAGCGTTTCTTAATAGAATGCCTTTCAAGGCCCTTTAAACAAAAATTTTCAAACCTCTTTTCAAGCTATCTTCGGGTATGGCTGTGTATCTTTGAGTGTAACAAGAGAGCAACACCCATACCATTAACTTTTTCGGATGCATGTCACTTTTTGACTCTGATTTCAGTGAATCTCCACCATTGATGCATTGGTGCTTGCATGTATGATTTATATAGAAAATTCACTTTTCATTATCAGTAACCATTTCCTGGAAAAATCTCTGACAATTGGTCATTGATAGCAAAGAATTGCAGATGGTGACTCTGATAGATATTGTTCAGTGTTATTTAATGTAAAATCCATGGTTCAAGCTTGTTGCCTTTTCCCATGTACTATAAATGGCGTTCAATGAGGGCTTCGTTGCAGTCGAGCATTGTTCATGACTCATGAGTGGTAAGATGTGAATTCTCTTCTAATAGGTTGTGAGTGTGTGGGTGTGGGTGTGGGTGGGTGTTGGTGGGTGGGTGTGGGTGTGGGATATGGGTGTTGGATCTGGTGTGGGTGTTGGGTCTGGTGTGGGTGTGGGTGTGTGGGTGTGGGTGTGTGGGTGTGGGTATTGGTAGGTGGGTGTGGGTGTTGGGTGTGCGTGTATGCGGATGTCGATGTGGTTATGGTCTTTGTTCTCAAAAAAGCCACACCGACACCCACATCCACACCCACACCCACACCCTTGAAATAATTGCATATGTATATCATATTTCAAATTTTTGTAAATTATATAGAAAAAATTTAATTAAATTATGAAGATATTATTTAAACTTGATAGTTTTAAGAAATATTTAGCTAATATACAAACATCGATTATTTAACTCGAAACCCGACATAGTCATACAAATAAAAGACAAAAAAAGAAGAAAATCATATTATTATAGAAATTACAATATTTAGATTATCCATCAAAATCAATAACGGAAAAATAATCCATTTTTTTCTTTTTCTTTATTCACCATTTAGAATTATGTCATGTTTATTTTGATTTGATTAAAACAAAAACTCAAAGAAGATCGAGCGGTTTCAATAAAATGCGTTTACATCAGGAAGCATTTTCACCTTTTAATAAAGATCATAAGGTATATATGATTGCAGTGTAAGAACTCGATATGAAAATGTTTGTTTTATTTTGATAAAAAAAAATGGAAATAGTTTTTATCAATTGTAAGTATTATTTCTCGTTCATATGTTTTATCATCATTAGAAGCTGATTTACAAGAAATTCAACGAAAAATTAGTCATACAATTGATTTTGATACATTTTTTAAAGTAGCACAAAATTTAAAAAGCAAATAATAAAGAAATAGAAGATGATATACATGAAACATGTTATGTATTTGATAAATATGGCATTGTTTGTGTTGGTGTTACTGAATTGAAGCATCCTATGATTTCATTGAATGAATAACTTACAGAAGAAGAAGATGAAGTTGATGAATTAACACGTAAACCTCATACTGATGCTGATGAACAATTTGTATCTAACTAGCTAGAAGTCGTTTTTTTTAAATAATTTCATTCATTTTTTCTCTTTTCATTTAGATGCAACTATGACGATCTTGTATGTATTTTAACAAATAAATAACACTAAAACGTGATCGATTTTTTGTCAATAATAAAATGAGCAAAATAATATACATAATGTCTCATAATAAGTACAATTAGTTTTCTGTGTAGTCTCTATAATTCATACATTTCTCTTTTTTTCCTTTTATGATCTCTTTGAGGTATGTCTATGGTTCGACATACTTCTTTCGTCACTTTTGCTTTTTTTCTTTAATCTCTTTACTTGTTATTATGGCTTCGGTTTCTTTAAATATAAACTTACATATGAATGATAAAAAAGAAAAAAATCCTTTTTTTTGCTGTACCTTCATTGATTTTATATGAATGAAGAAATAGTTAAATTATTTATCATCATTGTATTTAATTGTTCGATACTTATCTGATGATGCTACAAGGAAAAAACATCGAAATCCCATACATTTATTTTATTTTACATCCTTTCATATTTAATTCATTTTTTTTATTTATTTCATTGAGTGATTTATTGTAATACATTTTCATCATGATATAGCTATATAATAAACGATAAAATAAAACATGATAATGTTGTTAT